ATGCATGATTATGGTGCCGATTTCGGCGGGTAAAATGTTAAAGATGCGAATAATTATTTTTGGTAAAAGGTTTTTAGACAAAGGAATGTCTTCCAGAGGTCAGGATTCCATGCCCAGCGTACGTACCTTGTACGTGCATAATTGATTACCACAACGAAAGATAATGGGTTAATAGTATGATAAAGTCGAGTATAGAAGTTGGTGGCACAGGCTTGTTGGAGAACAAGAGGTGGGACTTTCGACGGACCCATTGTTCCACCACAAATACACGTGAGTTAAATGTGCCACTACAGAGGAAAATACACTAGGAATTGAAGCAGAAAATATGCTTTGAAATGGGGGCCATAGCGGCCAAATCACGCAGATCTGTTGACCCCCCCCCGTCCTCCTACATCGGCTTCTACATATAGAAGAGGGTATCGTACAGCGACGGCTTGAACGAGGCCGACGCGTAGGCCGACGTGGGAGCACTCGCGCCGCTGGCCTGGCTAGAGGTATCATCGATGAACAGACTAGCCGGCTTATGGTAGCGAGCACGGGCAGCTAGTACATCGGCCATGTAGGCCGGGGTGCACAGCGACACGGTACGGGTGCAGCGTGGGAAGGCGTAGCATAGGCGATTGGTCATGTCCTGGAGCATATCGGCCGTCAGGCGGTTCTCATCGAGGAGCACCGTGTAGTGGACGGGACGCGAGGTGCCCTGAAGGCCGCTGTGGGCCTGCAGATAAAAGTCAAATAGGGCCGGGTTGGTGATATGGGTATCGACAACAGTCCCGGCGCGGCAGTTGCCAGATCGCTCCTCATCCTGGCGGTTGACGGGGCGGAACCGCACGTGGTGGCGCTTCTGGCAGGTGACGAAGGTGATGCGCGGGGCATAGCCGACCTTTGCCTTGGCGCAGGCCCGGCGTATGGCAGCCACTTCGAAATCCAGGACGGTGCTGAACTGTGAGTCGGACACACCATCGCGGTAGAACAGGATGCAGCTGGGAAGGCGCTTGCTGGAGGTCTCGAACGTGCGTAGTAGGCTAAAGAACATCGCCTCCATGTTGGCAATCATCTCGGTCCCAGGGGTCTGGTGGTCCACGCGACTGGTGAAGCGCGCATACGATGCATCGAGGGTGGCTACGATAGCAGCGATGGAGTTCTGGCCCACCGACCCGGGTTCCGGGTGGGTCACGTCAGCGCCCACCACCATCGTGGGGTTGCTGGTCAGGAACGGTACTTGGCCTGGACGCAGCTGGCAGTTCACGCCCCGGAGTTTAACGTTGAGCTTGAGTGCCACATTGGCCATGTACTGGATCCCGCCCTTCTGGAACTTGCCCGACTGGAGGCACTGGGTAGGGGCGCCCATCACCGTGTCCGAGATGCGCTTAATTTCACCGTACACCTGCGCGTCGGCCGAGGGCAAGATGACAAACACGACCTGAGGTGCGGCACCGCAGGCCTTGTGGCCTTCGTTCCAGGCGTTACGTAGGCCCTGCTGCAGGTTGCTATGGGGCGATGCAAAGACCGGCTGGGCCCGCTTATCAGTGAGCTGCATGCCCACCTGCCCGCAAGCACGGAAGAGCTCGTTGATTGCCGAGCTAAGGGCGGCAACCATTCGGGGATGATGACGGTCGAGAACCAGAATGCCGTAGGATCGAAGGGCACTCGGCGTGTTAAAACGTAGGCCCTTCATATTCCAGGCCCCGTCGCGTGGACTGACCTGCTGGCCTTGACCACGCTGGTCGTAGACCAGGCTCGGCGGGGCAAGGGTACGGGCCGGGGTAACCAGAATGCGCGGATTAACGCGGATTCCAAAGGCCTTGAGGTAGGGGTTATTGAAGTTGATGAGCTGTGGAGCGTTACTGCGGATCCGGTTGAAGCGGTCGTGCGGGCGGATACACGTAAATTTGATCATCTCAGCGGTCTGGACAGGAGTCAGTTTGCGGGCATAGCGGACCCCGGAGGCCACCGTGCACACCTCGAGGGGCAGCAACACGCCGCGCTTGACCTCCACACAAGGCAGGTACGGGTAACGTAGGGTAATGTTGAGGGTACGCTGAAAGTAGTCCGCCACCGACACCTTCTCCTCGGTACCGTCGTCCTTGGTCATCTGAAACATGGATCGGTTGGCACCCTCGCTCTGGACGTCCCGAATTTTGTAGAGACGGTTATCCTCGCGGTGCGTGACGGTAATGGGCACACCTTTGAGAGCCTTCCGGAGCGCTCGGTACTGAGGACTTCTGGGGCCAAGTTGGAGGTCTTCGGGGCGGCGCAGGCCAATGTACTGCAGCGCACGATCCAGCAGACTACCGGGGCTGTAAAAGGCGCACGAGCTCACGTCCACGTTGAGCAGGAGGCGGCCAGGTGCAGGGCGCACCGATTGGAACAGACCAGACCACACCTCGATACCACCCGACAGCGGACGTACCCCGTCGGGGGTATAAAACGAGTTTTTGGCACTCACGTGCTGGCTGGCCGGGTGCTGGTGGAACGCTAGGTCCAAGGCGTTCAGACAGGAGGTGATGCGGTCAAGGTCCTTGTGCTTGCCATCGATAAAGTCGCGCAGCTCTTGCATGTTGACCGTGGTGGCGAACTTGAGGGTGACTTGGAACGGCTTGGGGCCTCTGCCGGGTGGGGCGGCTTGGCGACGAGCGTAGTCCTCCTCGAGGTACACGTCAAAGGGTGCCCCATCACTGATGGTCAGGCGGGAGGGCGAGTAGACCTGGGCGCGGCCGTCGAACACCGGGTGGGCGCCCTTAAACAGGGTGGGTCCGTGGTACTTGTCCACAGCGCGGAAAATGTCGCGGTAGAGGGCGGGGGGTACTTTGCCGTCCACTTGGAAGTCGTACTGGTAGATTTTACCCGTGGTGAAGGACGCGATCTCGTAGAAGTTGGCCTCCACGTTCACCTTCTTGCCAGTAGCACCAACGCCGGGGCGAGGGGCAAATTGGGAGTCGATGGCCATGACGCAAGTGACGACGGAAATTACAGGGTCGACGGGTGGGCGGGCACTGTGTTGGGACGGGCGAAGGAACCTGACTAGCCAGCGCAAGCAGCGTTGCTATTTGAGGCTAGAAATGAGGTTAGGTGAGTAATTACGAAACGCGTTCTGGTTAACACAACAGAGCTATTGAATTCCGGGTTCAGGTGTCGCGACGGCTGGTAGGCAGGTCGAATGTAGAGGAGGGTTTTGCGTAGGATCTTACACAAGGCAGCTTTGGCCGAGGGATGTGCGAACGGGAGAAATTGACGTAGAATATAACCAAAGGGACCAGAGACAAGCGAGGGCGAAGGCGTTAGCTTATAAAGCCTTTCCGCTGAGTGGCCTGTGCAGAAGGTTAGTCTGGTGTGACTGCATAGCCAAGGCTGCGCTTCTCCCTAGCCGGCTTAAGCTGTTCTCATGCCATTGGTCACACTAGAGGGCGGATGAATGGCCCAACATGCAGCCGTAGGTAAGCTATAAGGCCCAGAGAGTGGCGTGGCCGCGGAGGGTGGGAAGGGTGCCAAATTTCTGTCTGTATGCATGAGGGCGGTTACCGCGAACGCAACGGGAGCCGAGGTTCATCTAGACCGATTGATTGATTAGCACCTGTTGGCCTTCCCCTCACTACGCCTTATGGGCCGAATAAGCTCTTCCTTCGTCAGTGGGGGGTTTTTAGGCAGCCCCTATGGGCGTAGCCTTCCCCTTCCCCACTGTACCGCCCCCTGCGGATGGCAATGTATGGCCTAAAGACGATCTATTCTAGCTTTACTACACAAAAACCTGCATTGCGTCTGAACCTGGGACTGGCGGGGCATATGCACCCGCGCCGAAGACGGCCGTCCAGTTAACGCTTGGGCCGTGGGACCCACCTGTGAAACCTCACAAGCTGCATTCAGCTATCGGGAATTGATCAGGGGCCCTTCGATGATGTTTGGCGGGTCTCCAACCTCTCCCTCACACTTTACTTTATCAGCGGCCTAGCCTTGGATGATTTCCTTTGGCAGTTAGGTACTTGAGAGGGGGCCAGCTCTAGCCCAACTCTCTCCCAGCTCTGCTCCCCATTACACAAATTTGGATGCACCAGCCCTCAAGCCGGTGTAATTCACCCGCTGTTCATCTGACTGTTACCACGGTAGCGGTTAGCGAGTTCGCTGGTCAAACAGCCCGGCCCTCGATATCGCTTTCTAGCGGCCGATCTACCTATTCCAGGCAGAAAGCCCGTTTGCTTATCGGCCGTACCTTCCGGTTAGACCCCCCAGCTCAGCCCCCGCCCCCATATTAACATGGCATTGATTGAATCCTCTAATCCGGCCGCAGCGGCTCTATTAGTCTCCGACGTAGCCATGGGGAAGTCCCGGCGACCAGTAGATATCCCTTTTTTAAATTCGGACTGTATAGTCAGCCGTCGGCGGACCGTAAGTTCACGGAATTATTATTGACTTGGCGGGGTCGTCATGATATGCGTCGTCTCACAACCGAAAAGGGAGGTCGATAGGCTACGTAGCCCCAGGCTAAATGCTTGCCAGGAAGTATACCACCGTTCGACTCCGGTCTCCACTTAGGCTTCCCCTCCCCAAAGTCTACCGTGTCTTCTCCATATTGCTGGACTTCACGGTAGTGCCAGTCAGATGCACTGTCGCGTTATGCATCGAATGGGTAGGCCTTCTGCCAATGTAGTTATCGCCGTTCTTACATGTAAATCAGTGAGCCAGGTTTAGTCGTATACGCATCTCACACGCATTCAGATTACGCCGCTACCAGATCCATGTTCATCCCAGAATTATGAGGCAGTGGATAGTTTTATACCATCAATTTGAGGAAACTATACAGAGTAGTAAAGATCCACTTGACTCCAGCCCAGTTCTCTGCCCACCGAGATAAAGAAAAGGAATACAGTCGCCCTGGAAAGGTTTCTACTCAACAGGAGTACCGTGTCAACATTGAAGATGAGGTCAAGAGCTATGAGAAGCTAGGAAGGGAAAGGATCGGAGGGACTGAAATGATATAACGAATAAATTAAAAAAAAATAGGATGCTCCAGGCGAGGGTCGAACTCGCGACCTCCGCGTCTCTCGGTGATAGGTTAAAATCCCTATAAGCACGGCGCCTTAAACCACTGGGCTACTGGAGCACTCCTGGCACGGACGCCGCTATGTGAAATATATGAAACTAAACCTCTAATAAAACCGTGTGTGCCAATGTATCGACTAAACCGAACCCACCCCCCGCCTTTTGTTATGCTCCATCCTGTGTGATGGGGAGGATATTGTTAGGAAGTGATAGCTAATGACGTGCACTGCGCCTATTTTTTCCATGCCACCATTTACAAGCGCGCTGATCAATTGTTAACGTATACAATGGCCAGCAGACAGACATCCGCGGATCCTCATCAGTAGGCTGCTATGTTTTAATTTTTTTGAGGGCTAGTGAATCAGGTCCAATCCAACTTTGATGCTTTGGCAGACAGTTCCAAATAGCGCTAGAGTATGGCCCACCTTCTGCGAGTCGTTTTACTGTGGCGCTCACTCGAACCCAGAATCGTATTCAGATACCGGTTGGACCACTCTAGCAATCCAAGGGAACTGACGGGCCATGGTTCATGGTATAACTCTAACATCCCTACTCAGGCCTGAGACTTCCCCACGCACCTGCTTGGCCGTTAAAATGAATAGGATGCCAGTGACTACATCACCGACCAAATCCTACATCAACCCTGCAGGAGCCCTATGTGACACACTGAAGACGTCTGGGCTATACTACCAATGGTGCTGCTACTGCAGCCCACTTATCCTCGCCACACTAGTTCAGAAGGGCCAGTTCCGCTTCGTCTGTGGTATGGGTGGGTGTAGAGGAGAGCTCCGCAGCACGTTTACATCTCTCCTCTCACCCGCCAGCGACCCTTCCTGCCCCCCTCCCCTTCCTCCTTAAACGAGAGTCGCTATGTTCCCCCCCCCCTGCTCGTCATGTACAGAGCGCGGGGGCTCCTGAATCCTCCCATTGCGACTAAATTGGCAACCCTAGCCCTCCGTCGGGCCCGTGCCTATGACTAGGCACGTTCCAGGCGGTCCTCCCCAGCCACAATGGCCTTGACCCCTTTGGCCGCCTGGCTCAAGGCCAGCCGCCTTGTCGAGCTAGCCTTTTTTCACCTGACCAAGCTCGACATGCAGACATACCTACCGTTCTTTCATTGTCCGCTTTCTAAACGTTCCGCATTCACCACCTTATTGAACGCCCCGCCCATCAACCCTGCGTCTACATCCCTATCTCCTCTTGACAATAATATATCTGTTTCCCGTTCAGTTTCCAATTGCTTTTGACAACATGCTTCGGGTGTACAGTCTCGTGGCCCTCCTCTTTACGGTGGGCCTCACCTTCACCTACTATGCGCTCTTCACTACCGAGTGGGTCCATTTCAGTGGAGCCCGGTCGCGGTTCCCACTCCCACTGTCTATACGCTACGGGCTCTTCCACAAGTGCTATTCGTGGAACGACGAGTGCATGCGGTTCCCGAACCCTAAAGTGGGTGACTGCGAGGGTGACGCGGGCGCCGCGTTCTGTGATATTTGGCAGCTGGCCCGTGTTGGTATCGTGCTGGGCGCTCTACACGGAGTCGTCACTTTGACCGCCCTGCTAAGCACCCTGTTTGGCGGCGCGTCCCGCCTCCGCAAACGCTGGTCTGTCAACGCCACCTGCCTCCTGGCCCATGCGGCCACCCTCACGTTGGCCCTTGCCACTGTCGGCTACCTCTACGACAGCTCGGACCGTTTCGCCGTGGGTGCTTCCCTCGGGTCCAGCTACCTGTTTGCCCTTCTAGCCGTCATCCTCGACCTGTTCGCTGTGGTCATCCTCGTCACCACCGTGGTGACTAGCCCGCCTGAATACCAGCCCATCCCTTAGCTCACCCTGGAAGAAATATCCTTGTCGTTTAGCTCTGCCGCTGGTAGCTCGGCCACACCGCATGCTCCTTCGCCACCGACTCCCCTTTTTTCCCCACTGTATTACCACCTAGGCCCAGTCGTTAGCCATTTTATTCTCTTCATTTCAGCACCACGTTGTCATCGCCGATAAAGAACCCGGTTAATAAACGCGGACCGAAAGCTCCCCGGAACTATTCAGTGCCGCCGCTCTTGAGAAGACTGAGGAAAGTGTCCTTCGACATTTGTTTGACTGCGGGGCCACGTCGCCAATTAAAAAGGATGCAAGAGAAAGTCAAGCGTAAAGCGTAGAGTCACGGTTAGAGAGGTATACGGTGCCACCAGCATCCTCACGTTGCCCTTAGAGCTCAAGGTGCAGTGAAAGTACGGCGCACGGCATGAAAAAGACTTACCTTTGTTGTCGGTCTCGTCCGGCGCCGAGCCACTCAGATCGAGCTCCTTCTGTTGGGTAGCGATCGCGTTGAAGAGCTTGACCACTGTTAAGGGGAATGGGAGATGGTATCACAGTGAAGATGATCCAATAATTAGATGGTGATGGGGTGCGGATTACACGGCAGAAACCACACTTGATCTGGGTTGGTCCAGCATCTTAAGTACAGCCATAGACACCAGCTCTATCGAGCCTCGGCTACCCAATGTCAGGTCGGTAGGGGCTAAACTTACCGCCGCGCGTGGCAACCTTCCGTAGGCTCTTCTCGTAGGTAGCGTTGCTAAAATCCGGAATGATGCGGTCCCGGGAGGCTAACCGTTTACGTTCCATGGCCAGGGCCTTGCGGGCCGCCACCTCCTTGCTATCTGCCTTGATTTTCCGCTCCACTAGCTTGTTACGGGCTAGAATGGGAACCTGAAAGAGGGCGGTGGGTGAGGATGGGCAAATGTAGACGTGGTGGTTGGAACGGGTGCGCATCAAATGGTAAGCAGGGGTATTCCTCGGGCCATTGGACGGCTTGAGGCTACAATACTGCCATTGTGGCTTACTTTTTCATCACTAGGAGCCAGGTCGGCGCCCAGAATACTGGACATGGCATCGGCAAACGCTGCTGGGTCCATGTGCTTGGGCTTCTTCTCTGTAAATATTGTAAGCGGGTTCAGGCATGGGAGAAGGTGGTAGCGAGCATAGAAATGGTCAGTGGCTACTTTCTAGACGGCTAGAGTTGGTACTCAAGTACGAAAAGAAGCGGACAATCGCCCACTGCTCAGCGTTCAACCGACCGTAGCTGCGTGTCGACCCTGACTGCAAGAGGGGGCGGGTCTTAACTTACTCGGCCGCTTCTTGACAAGCATCAGGTCGTCCTCTGAGTCGGATTCTGAATGGAGCGAGCCAACCTCGCGAGGGCTCTCGGGTAAGGCCTCGGGCTCGGCATGTTTCTTATGGGCGCTGCGGGGTGGCATAGTGCGATACGGTGGAAAGCCAGAGCAGGCGGGGGCGACACAAATTAAGAAGAGGGGTGGGTATAAAAGGAATGGAATGTGCAATTGGGGGAACAATGAGGACATGCCATCGTGACCCCCTTCATGGGCCTGCTTTGGGAGCGTTGTGCCTGGCCTTGCTAACCTCCCCCCTCCTGGGCCTTTGTGAAACGATCGTAGGGTTAAACATAGGGGGAAAAAAAGAAAAAGAGAACCGGGGTGAGCCTGTTCAGGCGCCTAGAACACAACACCAAAATATCACGTGATAAATGATGGAGTCGCCTTACTGTCCCTGCCAGACATTCCAACTGAAGGTGGGAGGTAATCAATTGATGATGGGCGAGGCAAGGCGAATTCCGAAGCTGCCGCAGTATGCCACCAAGCTCAGAAGTCGCCTTACACTGACCGATGGGAACAAGTTGTCAACAGGTGTCCGCATTTACCTGTGTGTTACGGCGCCGTTACTCTCCAAACCCTCGTCACATCTGGGCTCATGCCTTACCCCCCTCCTCCACCCATAGGCTAGCCGAAAAATTCAAGCGCATCCGTATAACGGTCCCCAGCCCGTGACATCGGTTTTCGTTTCTACTGGCATGCCCAGAACCAAGTCAACAGGCCTACGGCGACGCCTGCGTTCTGCTGAACCGACGTCGCCTCTGCCAGCTTCGGCGGCGTCGGCCGACACGTTCCGTCACCAGAGCCACCTCGCGACGGACTCTACTTCACCAGCCGGTACCAGCCCTACGCAGGCCACCCCACCCCCGTCCACCCCGACGACGTCGACCACGTCCAGCGAGAAATTACCTGACACCGTCGCCGGCTTATTGCTACGTCTGCGCTCTGAGGTGACCTGCGCCATTTGGTAAGTTGGGTAGGTCGATAGCCACGACTGCCTTCATTTTTATTTCAGCTGTACGCTCTAGAAGTGGCGTAATGGCTTGCTTTTCTCGGCACCTTATCGATTCACCCACAATCCCCCCCTAAGTACTAAAACCCACTGAATTCCCTTTTTGACAGCTTAAGTCAGCTCGCGACCCCCTACGCCACCCACTGCAACCATATTTTCTGTAAGGACTGTATCTTTCAATCGCTCAACCAGAAGAATACCAAGTGCCCGCTATGCAACACGCGCATTACGAAGCGAGCGCTGGCACCACAGGAAAGCGTGGCCAAGGTTTCCCAGGCCGTGGCTGCCGTAATTGCAAGCTACGAAGCCGAAACCGGCGTACCGATCGACCGGTTTAAGAATGATTTGTCTCGGGAAGCCCGGGACGCCGGAGATAATGCTGACACCGGGCCCGCCTTATTGCGCCTATCACCGCCGACCAATTTATCACAACAATACCCACACCCGATTAAGGATGTGGTGACTGACGCGACGGGCAAGCCTCAGACCGGAGTGTGCCCCGGTGACCTCAGGACGAAGCGACGGCGAGCGACTCCCGCTAGGGATTGTACAGCACCGCCTATGTCGGCAGCCTCTGCCGGTCCCTCCAAACGAAAACAAACCAATCCCGCGGTCCCGCTAAACGTGAAGGCTAGTATGCTTCGATTCGTTGCCAGTAATCTTTCACCAAAAGATACGGTAGGTCTCTTAGTTACTAGTTTTTAAGCTGCTTTATGACCAGTATTCCCCAATCGCCCCTATCGGCTGGTATCCAACATGTGAACTAAGTCGACCAATTCCTCACTTCGCAACCCCGCCCAGAGCGCTCTTGCACAACTCGCCACACAAATGCGTGGCTCCATTACTCACAATGTGGACGACTCCGTGACCCATTTGATT